GGCGAGGAAGTTGGGAGGTGGATATAGCCGAAGCGCATGGCCACGTCCTTCACTTCGCCCCCTGCACGAGCTCGCTCGAGCGCAGGCCCGAGCGCATCGACTGGGACGGGGCCCCGGGCGAAACGCGCGCTGGGCGAGGAGGGCCAACGGCGCCGCGACGCCTTCCCAGATCCTCGAGCCCCCATCCGCCGCATTCAACTCAGACGGACGCCAGCGGCGCGGCAGCGCAACATCCCCGCGAAACATAGCGCAAGCAACTTACGAATACATAGAAGGACACCGAAGGCAGCCGAACGTCCTTTATCACAAGCCAAAACGAGTGACATATTGCGTCCGATATAGAGATGCCGTAAACCAACGTTATGAGAGAAACGAAGCTGTTGTCGCAGCGTTGACACCGCCCCCCTCCCCTCCAAAGTCATTATGTTTCCCTTTTGGCGAATGTCACGGCGTAGTCCAATTGCCATCGTTCGGGATCAAGTCATGGAACTCTGGGTTCTCATCTATCATCTTGATTCCCTCCCCCTCCTTGTCCACCTTTGGAGGGAACGCAGCGGCAACGTCATTGAGCACGCCAGGCCCCTCGAAAGCCCTCTTGCGAGCCTGCGCTGCGGGGACCTCGGCACGGCGCCGAGACTTCTCCTTGACTCCACCAACCTAGGAGACGTCCTGGGTCGGCAAGATCCCCGAGCACACCGCGTGCCCACTGGGACAAGCATCTGAACTGGAAACGTTAGGACTCCACGGCCAATCCGATCTTGCACAGCAGAAAGGAAGCAGGATGCTGACAGTTCGAATCGCCTGAGCAGCACTCTTCCACAACCAACCCCGTGACGATCCATGGGCACGGACGAGTGAATAAACATGGCATGATGGAAGATGGATGGGAACTCTCTTCCGAGCAAGCAGATATGGATGCTCTGCCCCGCGAACCGCTCCAGCTCGCGCCCGCTGACTCGCGGGCGACCTTGAAGCCGCCGGCCCGCGGCCTCCAGCAGCTGCCTCTCGCGGGCCACAGGCGCCGCCGCGCGTGGCCCCGTTGGCGCGGTAGCCCAGGGGGACGGCATCCGTCGCAAGGCCTACCAGCTCGTGGACCACAAAGCCCCCCATCTCAAGATGGTTCTGCAGCTGGTCGCGGACGCCACCCGCGGTGTCAGGATCCAATGCCATGACGTTGATGTTATCGGCGTAGGGAAGCAGCAACGCCCCGCCTGGCACCAGCTCGAGGATGCGCCTCTCGTCCGCGATCACCCTCTCGGGCTCGGTGCCCTTGGACTCCGCGATCTGCCGGTGCACCATCTGCTGCGCGATCCACGTCGCCCAGTTCCAGCCCATCGGCACGACCTTCAGGCAGGGCGCGATCATCGCGCCAGGGGGCGGCAGTCTACTGCAGCCCGGCAGCTCTGCGAAGTCAGCAACAAGCGAGACGTCAAACGGCGGAGAGGTGAAGTGCTCCGACAGATCGTAGGGGATACCCACAAAGTAAGAGATGTTAGATATGTCAGCTTGCGCAACGTGCAGCTCAGCCTCCGCGAGGACCGAAGACGTCAGCCCACCGCGATCCGCTGGCCAAGCCCATGGCAGGAGGTGCCCTGGAGCGGGCGTTGACCCCACGGCAGTCACAGACGATCCTGAGTGCACCGATCTTCTTCTCAACAAAAAAAGGATGATGCGATCCTCTGGCGACATAGTCCACGCCAGCATCCCGCTCGCGGCCAGCGAGCGGAAAAAGGCGGCATACTTGGCGGGGGCGCGCTCGAGAACCGCGCCCGCGCACGGCCCGCTAGGCGCGCTGGCCTCGCAGACCCCGCCGAACTCGTCACCATCGAGCATCGCGGCGGTGCCGAACTCCCCGAGGCAAGCGGCGCGCTCGGAGCCCAGCAGCTGCTCAGCGATCGGGAGCCGCTCCGTCGGCTCCGCGATCGCCATCAGCTCGCGAACGCAAGGCGAAACAGTACTAGGGACATCCCCACCGTCGCAGCCGGGGCCAGAACGGAGAAGCACGCGGGCGGCTTCTCGCGGGTCGGCAGCGCAGCACCCGCATGTCGAAGAAGAACACGCCGGGCTTCACGCCGCGCAGCGCTGGTAGAGACGCAAGGCCCGGCAAGACCGCCCCCCCCCCGCAGAGCCAGTTGAGGATGTCAATCATGGCATCTGCGTGCTGGCCCTTGGCGCAGCGCAACTTCAGCCCTTGCTGAACGGTGCGCGACACGCCCTCGCGCGCGGCCAGGTTCTCATCGAGCCTCGGTAGAGGAAAGAGGTCGCGCGGAGCAGCTCTCGGCAACTGCGAGCCCGCGACCGGGGCATAGTGGGGTCTCCTCGCCAGGGGGGCCGGCGCGCCCATCTGCCGGCCCCGTGGCCCTCTGCGCGTCACGAGGCCACTGCGGGGTTCTGGCCCCCGCCGGCCCTGCCGCGGCCCCAGCGGCCCGCGCCCTTGGGGGGCCGCGCGGGGCGCTGCTGCCGCTCCTCCTGCGCCTTGCGGGCCTCCTTCGCGATGGTTGACTCCTGGCGCGCCTCCGAGACGCCGACTGCGGCGCGATGGCGGCGCCTCCTGAACGAGCACCCCAGCCCATGTAGAAGTCCGCCATGCTGTAGTCGGGCTGGGCTGCGTTGAGCTTGTGAACCTCCTTGATCAGCGCCAGGCGCCTGGACAGGAGATCGAAGGACTCCAGCAATGGCCCGGCAAGTTGAGCTGATCCTGCGACGAGGCGGCGCCCAGCACCCTGGAGATCACCTCGCGTTCGTAGACGCTCCTGTCGCCAGCAGCGACCTTGCTCATGCGCACCCAGATCTCGCGGGCGGCGAAGAAGGACCCGCCGTTGTCTCGAACATACTTCGGTGTCCACATCAGCGAGCGAGGACCAATTACTCTGAACCCGCCGGGCACCGCCTTCTCGCTGGAGAAAGCCGCCACGTCCGCCACGCTCCTGCGCCGTTCGCCCTGAAGATCGAAAGACACGGGCAGCGCGCGAAGATCACCCTCCGCCACGGCCGCCGCGTCCTCCGCCGTCATCTGACCAACCTCTAGCGGCCGGCCTGCCACCTGGACGATCGCGCGGTCGCCGAGGGACACAGCGCCAGGCGGCAGTCGGTGACCGACCAGGTTGCCCTCCTGATACCCTGCGCGGGCCTCCAGAGCATACCATCTCAGCAACGTCGGCGCCATCGGCGGAGGCACGATGCCCGCCTGAGGCGCCTCCCCAGGTCCAAGGTAGCAGGGGCGCCTTCCCCCGTCTCCCGCGCCGCTGGCAGCCGCATTTTGCGGGGAGGGAGGCCCAGCGCGGGCGGGCGCACCAAGCTGGCGGGCCGCCGCTCGGCTGCAGGTCAGGCCCACCCGGCACCTGGGGGGACTCCCAACCTGTCCTGGATCGCAGATCCAGCCTCCGAGCCTGGCAGCACAAGGGTAGGCGGGGACTCCAGCGCCGGGCCGTCGCTCCCAGGCCCGGGCGCCGCGGCGTCCTCCAACGGCAGGCCGTCGGGGTCGTCCCGCTGCTGCACGTCCCACGCGATGTGCAGCGGCAGCTCGGGGGGATTGACAGCATCTCCGCCGCACCGATCCGTGCCAGCCCGTCCGCGTACAGCTGGTCTGGCACGTCGTCGACCGTCGAACCCATCGACTATCCGGGGGTCGATGCCCTCGGGCAGCGCCCCGGCCGTCTCTTGGACGAAAAGGGCCCTGATGTCGCCGCCCTCGATCAGCGGCGTCTCCGCGTAGTAGTCGCCACCAGGAGAAATCCCGAAGAAGCGGCAAGGCGGGCCAGCACCCGTGGTCACCACCAGCCTCTGGCGGAGCACGCGCGGGCCGCCCACCTCGTACTCTGCCAACACGAACGGCCCTGCTCGCGCCTGCGCCATCCTGTCATTCGCTCGGACGTCCATTCCCTGTGTTTTTTTTTTCCGGCTTCGTGCGTGGTTTTTTTTTTCGCCAAATGCCCAAGGATGCTCCTCGATGGTCCTCGCCGAAGGAATAATGCACACGTCCGAGCGATGCCAAGCATCGGGACCTGTCACACTCGATCGCCTCGGGGTCCCAGACCCCCGACGTCATGATTTTTTCATGACGCGACCCCCAGAGGTCCGGACACATTCCCCGGGACCAGTTTTTCATCCAGAATCGTTTTTTGACGGTCCTGAGGGCCGGTGAGGGCCCCCCGAGGCCGAAAATATAGAAAAACCTCCCGTCGTGAGTTTTTCATGACTCGATCGCCTCGGGGCCGCGGCGCCTGCCCAGCAGTGCTCGACGGCGGGCCAGCTGCCCAGGACCATCGCCAACCGCCGAGGGCGCAGGCGACTCTCACCCAGCCGGGCCCGCTGCCAGCTGGCCCCCGCGGCAAAGGCACGGAGCAGCCCCGCCGCCAGGCGCCTGGGAGCGCTTGGGAGCGCCTGGGAGCGCCAGGGAGCGCCTGGGAGCGCCGGGGAGCGCCTAGGAGCGCCTGGGAGCGCCTGGGGGCGCCTGAGAACGTGGGAGCGCTTGGGAGCGCCTGGGAGCGCCTGGGACGTGCGCCAGGGGCTCCCCAGAGGCAGCCGAAAAGGCGCCGCATGCTATCATTGCATAGGCCGAGATGGCTGCCGCCCAGCTCGGCCCAGCGCGGGTGCACACCCGTGGCGTCCGCCCCTGGCAGTGCAGCTGCGGCGCACGCGGCGGACACCCCGGCGCGCCGCCCCACAGAGCGACGCCCGTGCGTCCGCCCCGGGCCAACTCGTGGATCGCGAAAAGTGGGCAGCTTGTTGCACCACCGAGAAACTACGGAGCAACAGACGGCGTCGGAACGACGGCGACAGACGACAACGTGCAAGCACTGACAACCTATGTACTTCTCTTTCTCTCTCATATGCGTCGCTCCTCTCGTCTCTGATCTATCAAATCAAGTACTGGACCCCGCGATTCACCCATGTTCATATGTCGTCTCTGCGGTCCCTCGGGTGCTCTCCCTGGAGATACTTCGACCTTTGCTGCACTCCCCTCGACGAACCTCGACGGAATAAGAAGGCGGGACGTCCTTCACCTTCTTGCTCTGGCGACGCCGCAAAGCCATCCTGACGCAAGATGCAGAGGGGCAACGACGCCCAACAGTCGAATACGAAGCAGAGGGTCGTTGCCGCAAGTGGTCTACTGGGTCCAGCCCCCTCCCCAGCCAAGAATACCGATCAGTCGGAAGAGGTGGGTAGAAACATGAAGTAGGAAGGTGTTCGAAGTATATTGGATCCCCGCTCGCCCCCTGAAGACGAAGGAAGACGGAAAGACTCGCGACCCTTGAAATGGGAAGGCGCCTACAGTATACTGGAATCTGGGAATCCAAGAATACCTGCTTTCAACGACCAGTGGGTATGCCAGAAAATGCAAGACTGAAAACACAATGACATCATGCGTTCTTGGACCGTCGTCACTGCGCAAATCGCCAAGCGGACCGTGCTCAAAAATAAGATGCGCCGGGATATTTGCAACCACCACCTGGCATTTGGGCACAAGCTCGACGCAACAATCAAGCGCGAGTAAAACAACCTTAGATCCTGGGGGTTAAACCCTGGGGGTGAGTGACCAGCCGGTGCTCCAAGTCGCACGTCTGTGTCGTGCTTGCTGCTGCTGTTCCAACATTTTAGCCGAGTCCATATTCAACAATAAAACATGCTTCACCACAATCCAACAACAAAAAACTGTGCGGGTGGAGGCACAACATATCCTGGCGAAGAACCCAACTACATGCAGTTGCGAGTAACGCGCTTGTGAGTATCGCCTTCAGTGGACTCCGTATGAGGCTATGAAACGTGTGAGAGGTGCCGACATGGGCCCGGGGGCGAATGCGGGCCCTGCCACTGGGGCCTTCGGTGGAGCTACCCATGGGACCACGAAGCGTGCGAAAGGGATGTGCAAAAATGAGCCTGCGGGCGCATGCAAGCTGTGACACTCGGGTTTCGGTGAAGCTCCCTACGGGGCCCCGAGGCGTGCGAGGGGTGTACCGAACAGCGTGGGGAGCCGCGTGCGACCCCCCCCCCCCGGAGGGCTTCGGCATGCGAGAGCCCCCTCCTGGAGGCTTCGCTGGAGCTCCCGGTGGGGCCACGAAACGTGCGAGTGATGTGCCGGGGAACCGCATGCAAATTCCCCTCCCTGAGGGTTTCGGTGGAGCTCCCGATGGGGCCACGGAGCGTGCCTGCAAAGAGCGTGCCGAAATGGGCGAGTACCCTATGCGACCCACCCCTACCCACCCCCTGTGAGCTTCGGTGTGGAGCTCCCTATGGGGCCACAAAACGTGTGAGGGGTGTGCCGATATGGGCGAGACCCGCATGCGCCCCCCCCCCCCC